CAGTGGAGGAAAGGAAAAGATTATACAGAAGAGAGGGTGTGACACAGCATCCAAGTGAAGAGGTTGGCCGTACATAGGAACAGGGACACAGATGCATGTGGGTGGTACCAGGAGCTAGTAGAAAATTCTGAGTGCTTTTATTTTCTCAGAGTAATAGGAAGAAAAATCACTGACTGAGAGAGGAGGAAAGGAAGGTATTAGAAAATTAAGTAGAAAGAATCAAACAAAAAAAAAAAGAAAGAAAGAATCAAACAGTCATCTGAGAGAACAGGAAAATAGGAGACAGGAGAATCACCTGATAGCTGATGAGGTCCACCCGAAGTCTGATTCCTGGATGTAAAGGGAGACCCATCGAGCTGGTTGTGTGCTTCCCAGCCAAGTTCAACTGGTGGAGCAGAAATGGGAACCGGCAGAGAGCTGAATTAACTAAGGAAAGGGTTTTACCAGGCAAGTACCAGAACAAAACATGGGAGGGGGCGGAAAGACAAGGGAATGAAGACTACTTCCATGACTGATCAGGGAGATTTAAGCTGAGGAAAGAAGGATGGCCCATAAGAAGGGAAAGGGTTTGTGATAAGGAGATAGGATCAATGCATTCAGATCCTGTGTGGTGACAGACTGCTGGGTTAAGGTACTAAGAGAGTAAAATGGAACCACAGGAGGTGATGGTCTGAGTAGAATGCTTGAAGCTGATATGTAGAAGGCATACAGCTATTGTTCATGGAGAAACAGGTAGCAAAGGCAAACTGGGGTATGACAGCATGTAAGGACAGGAGGTCAAGAAATACAAAGACCACAGTATTGGAAAGATATTGAAACCACTAAGAATCATGACAAGACAGAAGCAGTCACAGAAAACTTGATGTTCAAGTTTCAGGAACAGGGAGACAGACGACTGCACCAAGAAGGAATAGTAAGCAGTACAATCTAAAGGCAAAGCTTGGAGGACATGCCAGTATTGTTTCAGAGGCAAAAAACTTAAAAGTAACCAGATTAGGCCCAAGATGGAGTGACTCATGCTAAGACCCAAGTCAACAAACCAAAACTTAAGTTTCCATGGTTACCTGGCAGAGAAAAGGAAGACCCAGGTCAACCAATCACCGCTTGCCCACTAAGCATATGCTCCATCTAAGGAATTTAACCCTGCTTTCACCAATCAGCAAGGGTCCAGTGTAACTTCCTTGTTCCTGCTCACTTTGATCTATAAAAACCTCACCTTTGGAGTTCCTTTCTATTTACCAGATTGGATGCTGCCTGATTAATGAATTGCTGAATAAACCCTACTATATCAGTAAACTGTCCATGGAAAACATTCTTTCAACAACTGAAAACAAAATGATCTAAATCAATCCAAGAATAGCTGAAGAACATACACATCCACAGTATGGACAATAATGCAAACATTAAAAACTAGTTATATGTACTTGCAATTGACCTGAAAGGACTTCCATGTACCTTGCTAACTCTTAAAAGGAAAAAAAAAAATGTATATACAGGCCTGCATGGTTTTATGTCTGACAACAGTATGGACAAGTCAAGGTTTTTAAGCAATTATTTCTAAATATTTAAATGAGGCTACAATGGGTCAAAGTACATTAATTTTCCACCATAAAAAATATAAAAATTTCCAGAACACCTGGGTGGCTGAATCAGTTAAGTGTCTGCCTTCAGCTCAGGTCATGATCTCAGGGCCCTGGGTCAGGCTCCCTGCTCAGCGGGTAGCCTGCTTCTCCCTCTCCTTCTGCCACTCCCCCTGCTTGTGCACACACACACATCCTCTCTCTCAAATAAATAAAATCTTTTTTTTTTAATATTTGAGAGAGAGAGCGCGCGCAAGCGGGGGGGAAGGGGCAGAGGGAGTAGGACAAGACTCCCCACGTGGAGCCAGATGTGGAGCTTGATCCAGGAACCTGAGATCATGACCGGAACCAAAGGCAGACGCCTCACTGACTGAGCCACCCAGGCACCCCTCAAATAAATAAAATTAAAAAAAGAAAAGAATATAAAAATCTCCATCTTTACCATACTCTCAGAATTGCTAATTAAAATAATAAGTTGAGTCAAGTTTAACAATATTAAAAGAAAATGACCCATCATTATTTACACAATGATAGATGAGCAAGTATCTCAAAATGTAAAATTGTGTGATTATGACTAGCTAGACTCAAACACATGTAAATGGTCCATTGTGTTAGGTCAAAAGAAATTATTTACATCTTGCATCTTTTAATTAGCAGGTAGTTTTAAATCATAATGATCAAGTTTAAGGAAAATCCTTCCCTGAGTGGCCTCTACTACTTTAAAGGAAGAACACAGGACACCTGGGGCGTAAGAGAAGGAGGTGGTGGAGGAGGAAGGGCACATAAAATTTTGCATAATTGTCAGAAAGCTAAGGGCAGGAATTGAAATAACTCTGCGCAAAGTAATACAGATTAACGTCCACCTACAAATCTCTCTCAAATAATACACTTAGGGGACATATGAAATTCTCATGTTAGGATAAACTTTTAGTTTTTAAATAGTTACTGAAGGAGTATTATTATCATAGTCATACAACCTATGTTAACTCCCACTTTCTTTAAATGCGGGGGTGGGGGGGCTGCAAATCATATGAAAAACTTGCACAGACAACATATGTTTTAGTAACAGGAAACTGTAAATGCCTGTACTGTGGGGGAGGGGGAAACCAGTAGGTTGCCACAGGGACCATGTTCATACTAATATATTAAAAGGTTTTACCTGCTTAGATCTGGTTGCAGCTATCTAAACAGAGAAACTTCAAGAACCTCACAGGCACAGGAGAGATACAACACAGTAGTACCTCAATCCATTAATCTCCCCGAGCTGGAGGACTGAACAAGGGAAATGGGAGTCTGGCTCAGAACTGGAGACTTCTGTGATGTCTATAGGAGGGAAGAGGCCAGTAACACCAGTACATTACTATGCTAGGACAGTAGGTCTTTCTGCCCCCCCCTCCCACTCCCAGCCAAAATACCACCTGAAAAGCTCCACTTCCAGAGCAGGGCAGAAACCCAAAACTTGAATTCTTCTACAGATCCACTAGGAGCAGAGAGAATACCCAGGAAAGAGAGGAGGCAATGAGAAAATGCTCCAGAAGGATATCTGGATTCTCCCCAATTTATTTATTAACTTGCCCATTACCCATTCTTATTTCCTCCTGTGTTTTTCTTGTAGCCTACAACACCCAAACATGCTTCAGCACTATGTAACTTCGTATCTGGGGGAAAAAAATACAGTTTAGCATGTTACCTCTAATGAAGTACAAATAAGTGGATTGCACAGAGATGGATATCAAGAAATCTGTGAGATGTGCCTAGAATTTTTCACCAAGCTTGCAATAAATGGGAAGCAATTCTGAGTACCAAGAATGCAAGCACTGTGTAGGGAGCTTTTTATCACCTCTATAAAAAAAAAAAAAACCTAATTTCAAACAGATCATGCTCAAAGGTACTTAGAACTAACAAATGAGGTGGAATTTTAACCTATGTGTTTGACTCCCACCCAAGCTTTTTAATTTCTCCACAGTCCCTAAACTCTAGGGTTAATATTTTATTGTTAAAAAGAAAAAAACTAAAGAGTCCTTCACAACTTTAGAGACAGACACTCCTTTCCACAAAAGTCACATTCTACACAAACCAAAAGAGTCCCTGAAAAATTATCTAAATTACTTGTTTTGAAATAAGAAACTGAGTCAAGAAGGGCAAAAAGAAAGATGTCTTTCCCAGACTGGGGTCTAATGAGTTGTAATGAGAAATGCAACTAGCAACTATGATTTGCTATCAGGAAAGTTTCTTTAGAGGCAAGTCCCTGGCTCTGATGAACATGCTCACTTCTAGGCTTCCCAAGACTAAAACCATAATAGAAAGATGAATACATATCTGGCTCAGAAAAATGGTTTAAAACATTCACTCTATGTACGCACTGCTCCCCCCCCAAAAAAAAAAAAAAAGAAAAAGTAAAATATTTTAAAAAGGCAGACTCCACCATAGGAGCTTTTCCTAATTCTTACAAATATCAACATAAAGCTAATTTATTAGGTTGCCTCAGTACTGCATAATACGGTGGTTCTCACTCTTCCTTTACTGGAGGAAACACAAAGGATTTGTCCTTTCTAAAACTCCAAATATTAACACAGTGCTTAATAGCTCTGAAAATTTCAACTCTGACCCCCACAGTTGTTACTGCTCTATGACTTTATTAGAGTGTATGGCTGAAAATTGATGCCATTTATCCATGTAAGTACTTCCTTAATACAACAAATAAAGAGGTTAAGAAATTCTGTACCAGAGGGGCGCCTGGGTGGCTCAGTCGTTAAGCGGCTGCCTTCAGCTCAGGTCATGATTCCAGGGTCCTGGGATCGAGTCCCACATCGGGCTCCCTGCTCGGCAGGAAGCCTGCTTCTCCCTCTCCCACTCCCCCTGCTTGTGTTCCTGCTCTCGCTATCTCTGTCTCTCTCAAATAAATAAATAAAATCTTTAAAAAAAAGAAAGAAATTCTGTACCAGAAAGTCTACTAAAAGCATTGTTAGAGGCTTGAGTCATATTATCATCTGAATTAGATTAACTTCCAAATTCACAACTAGGAAATTTTATGAGGAAATAATAGTTATGTCCTTTTCTTTTTAAGAAAACTACCAGGCTTGTTTGTTCTAACCAGAGGAAATGAAATTTTGGCCCCGAAGACCTATTTGAAGGGAGGGAGGGAGGAAGGGGAAAAGGGGAGAAAGAGGAAGGGAGGAAAATTCAGCAAGTCTTTACCATAAACGTATTTACATTAAAAATTGAAAAGCAGCTGACAGAGCCAACTCACTTTACATAATTTCAGTTATTCACTGTAATTTTTAAACTTTTTCAATCCTTTTATTATAATAGTTGAAATAACAATAGGACTGGAATATTCTCTTTGAACCACAAATACACTCCCCTGACTTCCCTAACCCTGACTGAGACATATTCTTTAAAAATCTACTTTCAACCCACCTTCCTTTTCTACAAGCCAGATGTTCTTTTTAAGAAGTGTTGAGGGGTGCCTGGGTGGCTCAGTCGGTTAAGTGTCTGCCTTTGGCTCAGGTAATGATCCTGGGGTCCTTGGATCAAGTCCCACAATGGGCTCCCTGCTCCACAAGGAGTCGGCTTCTCCCTCTCCCTCTGCCTGCCGCTCCCCCTGCTCCTTTCTTCTTTCTCTCTCTGACAAATAAATAAATCTAAAAAAAAAAATGTTTAAAAAAAATTAAAAAGTATTGTCTTGAATGAAATCAAATAGGAAACAGAATTTAAGCAAGGGAATTTATATGTTTCTCAGCTTAATACAGAACAGGGTTTTGGGGGAGGTGGCTGAATTTGTTGTTCTTGTTGTTACCATACAGTGCATTATTGGTTTCTGGAGTAGAATTCAGTGATTCATCACTTACATACAATACCCAGTGCTCATCACAACAAATGCCCTCCTAAATGCCCATCACCCATCTAGCCCATCCCCCACCCACCTCCCTCCATCAACCCTTAGTTTGTTCTCTATCTTCAAGAGTCACTTATGGCTTGTTTCCCTCTCTCCTCTTTCAGAAAAGGGGTTTTAAAAATGCATACACAAAAACACAAGCATAAAAATACATATATACTAGTCTTGGCTCTGCCACCAGTTACTATGAGACCTTGTCTAAGTCAATAAATTGTCATTTTCTCATCATTAACGATGATGGAATTCACGTGAATCTATTGTAAGACTAAACTGTATTGATGCCAAGCGCTCCCAAATCAATTCTGGAGTACTGAAAACCACCAAACATTGAAGAAGTAAATGATCAGAGGAACCCATTTCTATCCCTGTCTTCTATACAAGACACTCTTCCCCCTTGGTGGAGGGTGGGCGGTGGGTAGAGCAAGAGTTCCCATGCTTTAAAAAAAAAAAAACTCAACAGGAAGATTTCTAAGGTCCATTTCTAAAATTCTAACGTTTTCCAATCAGATCAGACTGTCTCCATAGTGGGCAAATGAACAGGTCCAAGAAGGGAGTAAGGAAAACCTTTACTTCCTTTTCAGTTTGAATCATGTGAGTCCACTATTTTAACAACAGCAAAAATACTTTTTTAAAAAGACAATATGGATGGTCTGTGAGAATGTGCCAGTGTTTGACAGACTGATCCAACAAAGATAGAATGGGCTCATCTCTGGGTTAAATTTCCTGCCAAGTACAAAACTGCTTCAAACCAACCAACACACACACACACATACATACACACACACACACGCACACGCGTGCACCCACATGCACACACCAGTTTTAATGCACTGAGTGGTAGATTTGATTGATTTCATATATTCATCCTGACCTCTTGCATCTCTACCCACGTAACTAAAAAAACAAGAGTCAAGTACTGCTAGATGGTACATTTATTTAAGCAGATAAATGTATAAAGCCTAAGGTCTACATAAAAAAGCAGCTAAGTGATCTTTTTATACATCAGAATGTCCCTTCACTCTTGGGACAGTCAGGCTTAACAAATAAAAACAGAAGATAGCCAATTAAAGTTGAATTTCAGATAAACAATAAACAAATTTTAGTGTACATATGTCCCATACATATATATGGAACATGCAGTAAAAAAATTATTCAATGTTTATCTGAAATTCAGATTTAATTGAGTGCCTTATGTTTTATATGGCAACCCTAATCCCATCCCCAGGCCCCCACCAAGTGTGACAATTATTAGGAATGACCAACCACTCTGGGTTGCCTCAGACTTTGGGGTTTCCCAAGACACAGGACTTTCAGTACTAAAACCAGGAAAGTTTTAGGCAAACCTGTCACCCTACAATTAACCATCTCATGGAATAAGTGAATTGTAGCCTGGATTCTACCACTAGTTAATTTTGATCTTTTGTTTATGAAACAACTTTTCTGTGCCTTATTTTCCCATGTCTGTCATCGTCTGTCATCATTTATCTAACGCACAAAATTTAAAGTGAGGATAAAATGGAATGCAGCAAGTAATAAAGGACTCTGGAAAAATGCAAAGGCACTATAAATGCTAGTTATTAGTATAGTTGGTTTGGGTACAAAGTTCTGTTTATGCAAAATTTCAAAGCAGTTTTACTTAGTTTTATTTACATACTTTAAATAATCTAATGAAGGTACTATTACTTGCAACACTAGTTTGACTGCATATAAAAATGTCCAATAGACTTGCTCCTTTTAGAACTATGGCAATAAGCTCTTGGTGTGATGCTGGCCTCCCCACTTACTCACTGTGTAACAGGGGACAATTCCCTTAACATTCCAGAGCTTCAAGTTCACTATACAACTGGGGTGGTAATAAATGCCTCACAAAACTCCCTTTGGGAACAAAGAAATCAGGTGAACACGCTCTACATAAACCACAATATGCAATGCACGTGTTCGTAGCATTTTAAATTCATTCATGCCAAACTATGTATACCAATGCCAATACTTTTCTTTCATCGTGATTATTTCTTATTTATACCCCCACTGACTTTGAAGATACTGAAGTCAAATGTATGCTTACCGAGAAGCGAGGCCAAGGAGCCAAACAGACGGAGTCCGACATTTAGTTCTACTACTTACTAAATGTCACCTTAGGTCAACTAATTTCCTAAGCCTCAATGTCCTCACCCGTAAAATGTGAAGAGGAGTAGTATGTGTATCAAAGAGCGTTAAGAGGACTCAGCAGCCAGCACGCGCCAAGGGTGGTATGTCTGCCTCACAAGAAGCACTCCGGCCTCAGCCACAGGTTATCATCATTTCAGGTTTCAGGCATTTAAGATTCTAAAGGTTAGAAGCAGTTGAAATCATAGATCCATCCATAAAATTCCTTATAGAATAATAATAAGAGAATAAGGATACTTAACACATCTTGTATTTGGAATTGGTACTATTCCATTTAGCATCTCTAGTTCACTAGTCAATTTTGGGGATTTCTCTCCATGAGCTTCAGTTAGGTGATGACAAATTTATCTTTAAGAAAATACATATATGAAGAATATTTTTTTCTCATGGCTAGTACTCCATGCTCAAGTTTAAATATCCTTGGAGTTTATGACACAGAACTATCGGATCCCACCCTGTGGGTCCCACTCCTGTCCCAAAGGTAAAGAACGCAAATGCAATATAATTCGGGACCAACTCTTTTTAACCAACTCAACTTACTGGGCCTCCATACGTCTAAAAAAGTTGATCCGCAACAAACTTCCCTAACTCTCAGGGTTTTTATAGTATTATGCCTACGGCTAATAACTTCATGCCAAGACCCAGCAACACACAGGGAGTCCTCAGAGGCGGTTCTGTTGTCCATTCATCAATCCTGTCATGTGGTAGACCCCCATCACCCCCCACCCAGACAACTCACACATCTACATGCGCTCAGGGTTCTGAATCATGTTGCTTCACCTTCCTCATCTAAGGGAAAACCTATTCCTCCTCTGCTTTCTACTCACCTTCCAAGCCATATATCTCCCCTTATTGTCATATCCAAAAGAAGTGATATGAAATTCTCTATATACAAGTGCAGCTTTTTATCCTAGAATTTTGTTTACAGTTGATCCATAGAAAGGAAATGGGGGGAATGGCATGTTCAGTCATCATTATATTATCCAAATGGTAGGGCAGAGAAACTAAACCTTAGGAGCCCTACTTCACAGCACTGTTTTGACAAATTCATCAGTGTGTCCTAACCAGCCAAGAATTAAATGCCCTGACTGTATTATAACAATACTGAATAGGACTACTTA